ATCGGAAACTGTCTATGAATTGCTGCGAGAGGAAAGGAGGCTAGAGAAGCAGCTTGTTGAGAGGAAATACCCGCCAACCCTTGTACAAGCAAAGTAGAACTCTACCAACTATTCGCAGCACTCGTATTGTGGTGCATTGGGGCGAACCCCGCCGACCCCACTTCTCCTCACTTCGTCCCATCCACCACCCACGGTTGTTGTGGCGGTCTAGAACACTCGGTGAATGTCTGTCCTTACGCCAAACAGCAAAGCAATGTGAACTCGAGTGAGGCTGTGAGTATTCAGGCAAAATACGCTTTTCACAAACAAAGACACCTTCAAAAGTCGAACGACTCTGTTCTGCAAGCAACAGAGTTTCACGCACATTATCTATTCGCAACCATCTGCCAGTTGGACGAAGGATTCTACTGGAAGGAGCGTGGATTAATCCACCCAACAATGGAAGCATACCCACCCAAACTGAACAGCAGCTTTGTTGAAGTATGGGAGAGAGAAAGAAGGACACAAAAGGATTGTAAATTCAGCCACCTAACCTGGATGTGGTCGCGTTCAGCCTTCTGTGCCAGGTACTCGCGCTCCTCATTAAGCAGCCTCTCCTCACGAGCCTTCACGAAGGCGTCGTAGTCGCCACGGTAGGCGTCCAGACGATTCGCAACGAGATGGATTATGTCCGTTGCGATGGCATTGAGAAAGGCTTGGTCGTGAGAAACCACTACCATGATGCCCTTCCAGGTCTCAAATGATAGCATTGAAAACAAGCAAACATCAGTCAATAAACACCACACCTAACATTACTTTTGAGTCATTTGCAAAGGTGTCAGTTGACCAAAACCAGTTAGTAGACTTCGAACCCTCGATGCACCTCCAGAATTCATTGTGCGTGACTGAACCGACAAACTCACGAGGGAGGAACTGCCCACGTCTACGTGTTTTCTTCAGGGGTGTGTCCACTGTTCACCACCGACACAGTAGTCGCACGAAGTCTTCTGGAACCGAAGTCAGACTTACTCTGGAGGTGCAGTAGTAGCATGAAAACCACTCCTCATTGCAAGTTAGTGGATCAGTTAGTTGGACCACTGAATCAGTCAAAAGAGCAAGGGAGGGAGAGGGGATGGGTAGTCTTCCAATCCTCTTGTCACTTCCCATTGCATACGAGCATCCATCCACCCTCCTCTTCTATGCCTTTCACACTCCAACACTCACGATGACCAGAGCTTAGGATTGCTCTTCTCAACATCGTCTTTACGTCGGTAGGTGGTGAGCGTTCTTTCCTTCACAATCTACATCTACCCATCCATCCAATTCTCGAGCCATGATGAGTGTCACGCGTAGATCACCAAAAGGATCGGCATGAAGACTGCCGGCTTCAATCGGCATTCGTTAACACGAGTGTGTAACAATGAGTTGCAAGTTGACAGGGCAGAGAGAGCACATCTCAACACTCATTTTAGTGCATGGGAAAGTAAAAAGTTAACATACTGGACATGTTAAGCCATGGAGCCACATAAGGTACGGGAACAAAGTATACGCTTTGTTTGCATCAAGGCAAGAAGTGAAATGGAAGGAGGAAGGGATTTCATACCTGAACATAGTTCTCTAACCAGATCATAGCACGCATGTCCAGCATGTTGGTGGGTTCGTCCAAAAGCAGGAGATCGGGCTTAGCAAATAGAGCTCTGGCCAGAGCCAATCGCATTCGCCAACCACCCGAAAATTCCTTTGTGGAGCGGTTCTAGAAACACGCGTCCAGATTACTGCACTAGTTTAAGTTTACAACCTAACGATAGTGTTACAGAGGTACTAGCAAGTGTAAGCAATACCACTTCAAAAATGATCGACTTTTGAGGCGCGGTTTACAAGCACATTCCCCGATGGAAGGGTTGGCAGCATTAATAGATGATAAAAAATCCAGGCAGATTCATTGCTTACTTGCATTTGGGCTTCTACCCCGAGACCATGAAGGATAGAAGCTGCGCGGGCAGGTGCACTGTCGGCATCAATGGCGACAAGTTGGTCGAAAATTTGGGCGAGACGAGAGGACGTCTCGTCATTCTCCTGTCCTTCCTTCAACTTGGCCAACTCAGCCATGAGGGCTGAACGTTTCGTGTCTGCCTGAAGGACGCTTTCAATGGCTGGGGTGTTGTCGCCCATCACCTCCTGTTCCACATGGAGAACAGATAGACCTGGAGGCAATCGAAGATCACCACTGCAAGGCATTGAGATGAGAGAAGAAAAGACAAAAGGAGGTACGAAGCAGGTCACAATTTGACGACACAGATACATCTAGTCTCCATTTTAAAGGCGCCACACTGGTAACATTGTAGGCTAACTCCTTCAGAAGGAATAGCAACGCTGACCCATCGGTGGACGGCAATTAATAACTTGTAAATCCACCTGCCATGAGAGTTTGTAGGAGAATCAAACTAAAAGTGACAATCCCGAATTAACTTGGTAAGACCAATGGAAATGTTGCCAAAAAAGCTTTTTTAAGTTTTTGTTCAACGTCACGATGGCCTTTCTCAAGTGTGCATCGACGCCGACGATCTGTCGCATCATACGGCCCAGGCCCAATCCACTACAAATTTTTACCGTAATGCTTTCCTTTCTCGCTTTCCAGCAAAGTGGAGTTCGTTGTTAACAGCTCTGATAGCTTAACCGGAAAAAAACCATCGATACAACAAAGGGGAACGCTGAGAGTAACGAGAGTAAAGTAATGCACCAATTCTTTGAATCATTAATATGTGTACGTGCTCATCAATTGGCATCAAAACCAAAGAAACTCAGATTTGAGAGCCTACAAGTTTCTCAGCTATACAGTTATATTGCCCACAATACAAACTAACACTCCTCTGGTACTAGTACTTCCAAACTAAACCTAAGCATAAACTATAAGAACAACAATACATTCCGCCCTCTTGCGGCACAAAAGGATTCGTAATGAATTAAAACGGGGTTCCGAGGAGTGTATTTGATGAATAGGCAAAGCATAATCAAAATATGTATCATAAAACCTTGTCCAATGCTGGCATCACTTCCAAGGTGAAGGACTGCTACCAATAAACATGATGCGTCGGGATTCCACCCAGGTTTTTGACGGAAACTATGACAAAGAGGAATCCACTTATTCGTATAGTGCAAAATTGTGCCTATACAACATATTCGTAGCGCCATCCCCTTCCACCTCATTGTTAATTTTTCCACAAAGTAATAAAAGCTCTAAGACGTGCCAAAAACTTTGGATTGCAACTGCATCTAATCGACTGCATGGGTCTTCCAGGTCTTTCCCAATAAAGCCCTCATAATTGTGAAACAGACGTACTACTAGTTCCTAATTTACTAATTACATTAACAGCAATGCTACTTCCAGGGTGACATGCCTCAAACAAAGCTAACACAATCAAGGAGCCAAAGCTCACTTTGCCAAAGCTCGAAGAAGCGTAGTTTTCCCACTTCCATTGCGCCCAATAAGGCCATACCGACGGCCGAAAGAAAGATGCAAATTGGCGTCTCGTAGAAGGACTCGCTTTCCAAATGAAATATCGAAATTTTCAATGTGCAAGTCGACAATCTTTGACGTTCCAGTAGTCGAGAACTTTTCTTTCCGATCTGGTTGTTGACTAACACAAGCCGATTCCAACTCATAAAGACTCGTTCTAATCAGCAAAATCGCACATAGGGAACGGGATTTACTTGCTTTGAAGATAAAGCGTCATTGTTTTGCAGTTTTTTAGCCTGTTTCTCCCGAGAACGTGCCTCTGCTTTGGCCAATTTTGCGGCATCGATGTTCTGTTTTGAAGAAACTGATAAAAACTGAACAAACATACACTGGTGACCTCACGCTTAGCCATCCAAATACTTGCAGTATCTATGACACGTTCATTGAAGTTGTTCACTAGTACAGCCATGTGAACTGGCTCGTCTAATCGCTCCTCAGTAGTGACATGCCCATTCCTGCAAAGTAAGGTGGTATAACATCGATTTAAGATAGCTCACGGATGAATAATATTGTAAACGTCTGTACAACACCGACGAGCATCCCTGTTACCGCCCAGATTTTCAAGAAATCCACCAATTGCTTCATAAACTTCATCAATTGACTCAAAGTGTTCTCCATTCTCAATAATGATGCCTAAATAACATAGGATGTTAGGTAAGTAGGCAAACCTTCCAGGTAGGAATCCGTATCCGGGTCAAGGTCCGGATAGCGTTTCCGTACCTCGCCCAGAGCGCTCGCAAGCCTCTCCCGCATACTCGAACGAGAGCCAACCAATCAGTATCAAGGTCGAATGCGAATATTTGCAAATGTACTAGGAAATTTTTATTAACATTTCTGGCATGGTATTTTAATTAATCTATAAGTTTCACATATTCAATTAAATGCATTCGAACATAATTAGTTCTATTATACGCACATTTTGTTTTATCTGTACCAGTAGCAATGGTACTCAATAGGCACTAGTTAAGTTCCCACAAGGTGCGATTTCTATTTGTGTTAGTTGGCAAAATAAACAAAGGATTTAAATTAAGCCGGCAATATTTTCTAAGCACTGTTGTAAGTCCCAAGGTATTCCCACTAAGTAGAGGGCACCAAGTTGGGTTGAGCACATGTATTCCAGGGAAGAAGGGGGGATTAAGACTTGGCTTAGCCCAATGACCTGGCCACGAGCACAAGGGCCAGTTAAATGTCAAAGTACTCCTCAGGCATCAAATGGTCACATAAGCAAAGTAAACGACAAGGGCATATTTTGAGGAATAGAGGTGTTTTAAGTATAGTGAATCAGGGCTTCCAATTTGTTCGAAGAAGCCATTAAGTGGAGTTGATTGCATACACTTAAGAGAGGAGAGATATCGATACTATGCTCAGAGGCTTTTCAGCAGGTTAAATAAGATATCACGTTGCTTTCGAAGCGAAGAACGGATATGGCTTTGGCATGACCAAAGGCCATTTCTCGAATACGAATGCCAAGGTTGCCGCCAGACATCAACTGGTCGCATACACGACGCTTTACAACTCACCTTTTGGCCAAATCCACATAAATAAAAGTAGGACAAATACCAAAGTGACCATCAGCCATGCAAGTTATTAACTAAGCAAAGCATCGTGACAGGAGCAATGAAATTATGACAGCAATTAGCCACTTGCCACTGGAGCTGAAGACACCATTAATACTACAGGAGTACACATCAGCTCCACGCTTTCGCCCCAAGTTTAAGATCACATCACTACGGGCAGTCAATTCGTTTAATTTCAAACTCTAAAGATTGGTTATGCTCTCCTCTTAATGCACCATTTTTAAACAGTTGCTGAGAGGCTCGCTAAGTTGTCGGTAGTAGTAGTCGTTGTAGCAACCGTAGATTGGTTGAGGCTTCAAAGGAAGTAAATGCAATGTAGACTGTAGAGTTAGGCATTGCAGGGGATGTTAAGGAGAGTGCCATTAGAACCACAAACAGTCCCATTCTAAAGGAAGCTTCACAGCATTGACTTAAGAGGGTTCGAAGGGTAAGGACAAGTGGGAACGGGTGCCGTTATGCTGGAATGTGTGGCCCCTTATGACTTTCTACATCTCTTCGCTCATCGCACTTCCTTTCCGCCTTGAGGGCTAGCCGGAATATGGCGTTAACACTCCTGAATACATTAGTTACAAAGCTATGCGCGGCCGTTGTGATGACCTGAAGTTTCGATGGGATGATGACCCAGAGTCAGGTGAATGACGCTAGCAACTGAGTAGAGGTGCAGCAAGGCATAAAGGATTGTTAAGCCAACTAGAAGGGCGTGATGAAGAGTCCATTCCAGTGACTCTGCTTATTTCTCTCACTTGAAGAAGGATGACTTTGAAGATCAAAAAGTGGGAGACAAGGTGAGAATGATGCAACATAAAGATGAAGATGGACTAGAGATAGCATCATTTGATGGATTGCATTTGGTGTCCTGATTAAAGAAGGGAGCACTTAAATGTAGAATGAAGTCTACGCACACAGGCATGAA